TTAACGATTCCTACCTCTGTACCTGGTGGTGAATTTTCTGGTACAGGATTTTTCAGGGACTTAATAGTTGTTATTGGAGCGTTGTCATTGACATCTGTAATTTCAATTATTAAGGTACAGTATGAGACCAACCCGAGACCGTCCTTTGCAGTAATTTGCATTTCGTATGACGACAAGTGCTCGTAATCTATTGGCCCACTTACTCGGACTTCACCGCTCTTCTGATCAATAGAAAACACGTTATAACTTTCATCTGAAATGTGATCAAATTCGTACGTCACTTCTCCGTTGACGCCTTCATCTGCGTCAGTCGCGCTTACTGTGATCACAACTATGTCTAACGGGGAGTTTTCAAGTAGACTGGCTCCATAAACGGCCTGACTAAATACTGGTGCGTTATCATTGGCATCCAGCACGCTAACATGAATAACCGCAGTACCCGATCGCTGAGGCGTGCCCCCATCAGTTGCAACAAGCTCAATCGTTAGCTCTTTCTTTTGTTCTCTATCCAACTCTTTTTGTAGAATTAACTCGCTGTATTTTCCTCCTCCACCTTTTTCAATAACATTCAATCGGAAATATTCATTTGTTTCAATACTATATCCCTGGATTGCGTTTTGTCCGATATCAGCATCATGAGCTTCATCTAAACGATAGCGACTTCCTTTAGCTGCAGATTCACTTATTTCAAATTTGATGGTATCCTTCTTAAACTGCGGTGAATTATCGTTGATGTCTTGAATGTGGAAGCTAATGCGATGCAGCTCTAAAGGCTCCTCCAAAACAAGCTCTTGTTTTAAAATGCAAGTAGATTTTTTGCCACAAAGACCCTCTCTGTCAATCCTCTCGGTAACAATCACATCTCCAGTACTCCTATTAATTTCAAAATACCCTTTGCTGTTCCTGTCAACATCAATACGAGCCTTTCGAGTAGCCAGTTTTCCCACCTCAATTCCTATATCTTTTGCGATATTTTCGATAACAGAGCCTCGTTTAACTTCTTCCGGAAAAGAATAAGCAACATCTCCACAA